CCGGCGGGGTGTCACGCCCAGCATCCTAGAGGATGCCTGGTGGTCACGTACCCCGGGGGAACGGCGCTGCTGTAACGCAAGAGCGGGCACACACGCGCCTCTCGAAACCCAGATAAGACAAGCCCCAGCCTGGGAACAGCAACGGGAGGGTTGGGAGCAGCCACTTCTGCGAGCCAGGGTTGCGAAAGAGAGCGCGGACGACTTGGGGAGCCGGCGCGGATGCCTACATGTGGGCGGGATAGGATGGCTTCACAGAGCAGCCGGGGGGGTTTATTTGCTGGAAATGTTGGGGTTTTCTGGGGTTTTTTCCCCTGTTAAGCAATTTTCCGAACACTTCCCCTGGAACATTTTAACACTCGAGTTCAAAATATCTGCGGCGGACACACAGGGCGTAGAAAGAGAGGAGCCCAAGCTGGCAGCTGGTAACTGTGCGTGCCCGCGGCGATGCCGGTGGGCCCTGGGACAGGCTGTCCAGTAAAAGCAGCTGGGGGGAGCAACGCCTCCCTGTGCCGCCGCCACACTGGGCTTTTAAGGGCGGTTTCCCCGCAGCCGCTCGGCCCCGCCGGCTTTGCTCCTCTCCTCCTAGGGCAGGCTGGTGCCCGAAGGGACTGCGGTGCCTGGCTGGGGGTGCAGGCACCCGGCAGCGTCGGGCACTGTGCTCTGCCTTGCTTGGGTTGTAGTTGGAAATAGATGCTGGAAAAGATTATCCAAGCCTTTGCAGGAGGGATCTCCCGCAGCCCCTCGCCAAAGCTGCGGCCGTGGCTGCACTTGCCCAGCACCAGGCTCGACCAAGCTGAATGCAAACAAGTGTATTTTCTTGGTGAAAGTAATTCAGGTCTTGAATTCCCTGCTTAGCACCACCTCGTCCCTGGGATAGCTGGGGAGAAGAGGAAAGCGATGCACAAGGTGACTGCAATGGCGGCAGCACCTTCAAGGGGGTTTTCGGAGGGAAGTGAAACAGAAAACAAAGCAGCAGCGTTGTCAGGACTTCCCCTGCACCTTAATTTAGCGCGAAAAAAACCCGGGTTGTCTGTTAGCAGAGAAATTGATGCTGCATCTCCTTCTCCTGCCATGCAGGACCCACTCTTACCAAAGTCGCAGCCGCTCCCGGCTGCAGGCAGGCACCCTCCTGTGCCATCAGCACCCCACTCCCGGGGTCCCTGAGATGTGGCTGCGGCGTCACCCGCGATCGCCATAAATCACGGGGGCAGCCAGCGCTCCCCCTGGAACATGGCCCCTGCCCGGCTTTCGCTTTGGCAAGTGCTGAAGTTATCGTGGCGAGGGTGGGGACGGTGCAAATCAGCTCCCGCATCGCCTTGGGGTCCCCAGAGGGCTGGCAATTCCTCACCAGCACGAGCACCATCCCACTGGCGCGAGGGGATTGGGCACCCCCAAGGCTGCTTCCCGGCCCTCGGGGTGGCTGCAGGAACCCTGGGCAGGTCCTGGTTGCCCCTGAGTGCTTAGCAGTGCCCCAGGCGCGCAGCGCTGCTCCCCTCCCACTGTTTTTCGTGCCGTTTCACCGAGGGGAAAACCACAGGAACTAAGTAACTTTGGGGTTTTAGTGCCTCATGCAGCCTCGTGAGGCCTCGGGGAGCTGGGGCTAAAAGCCTGCACCTCCCTGGAGATGCTGTGCCAGCCCATGCTGGTTTATCCATCACCAAGAGGGGAAAGGAGGCAGGGAAGTCAGTCCGGGGGGGCTGCAGGCTCTGCACTGCCTGCCCCGTCCCTGCCACAGCCCGGGGGGGCATGGGGGAAGAGGCTCTCTCAAGCAAAGGAAGTGAAGAGCGACGACTTCCCCGCCACGCTGCTTGGCTTTTGCTGGGGAGGGCGGCCGTGTGGCTACAAGTTTCCCCAAACGCCTTTCCCCGGGGCGTCCCTGGCTCCGGGAGGGCTCTCCCCATGGCCAGGGGGGTGCCAGTAGGGCATGGCAGAGCCCGGTGCCCCCCCGGCAGCGCCCAAGTGCTGGCGAAGCTGCCCTCCACTTCCTCCAGATAAAGATTTGGCTCTGAGCATCCTAGGATGGGCCTGGCCTAATTTTTTTTCCCAGCAGAGGCCATCCTGACTTTCCTTTCACTCTGGTCCAAAATTCCCCACCTCTTTATTTTTAGAGGACAAGGGGGAAAACCAGCCCGAGCTGCTCGAGGCTGGAGCGACGAGGCAAGCCCGGAGAAAGCTGAAGCAGGCAAGCACAGCCCGAGCGCAGAGCAGCCCCAGCGAGGGATGCTCCCACCCGCCCCCCCAGCATCGCTGTGGCCCCTCGCGCGGCTCCGCCAGCACTGCTCCCCGCCTTGGCTCAGCACAGCAGCTCCCACAGGGCCCACACGACAAACTGCAGTCAAGCCCCCTTGCTCCCAGCCCTGTGCAAAGCACAGGGGGGCACAGCCCCTGCCACCAGCAAGGTCCATCCCAGGGGAGAAGGGAGGAAAGCATCCATCCTCGCACCGGGCAGCCACCGAAGCACCTTCGGAGCTGTTGGAGATGCGTCAAAGGACGGCATTAGTTTAGGGTGGTAGGTGGCAGTGACGGTGGGGAGGGGAAGGGGAGCAGAGGCGCCCTGCTCTCATGCCAGCGGGTAGCCCGCGTGGCTGCTTCCTGACTCCAGCTCCCTCATGGGACATCCAATGTGCGATCGTATCTGTCACCGAAGGAGCCCTGTTCGCTATAAGCTGTATCACCCAGGAGCATTTCTGACGACAGCCAGCACAGCCTCGCTTCTGGGTATATCCCAGAGAAACAGCCCATTTCTCAGGTCCCTTTTTCTTTCCCAGGAGCATCATTTTATGACACCTGAGCATAGGAAATACTGGTTAAAACTAATTTTCATTCCCCTGGAAGGATTAAAAGATGTTGGCATAGTGGAAAAGTGGACCATCACCTCCAGCCGACCAGTCAGAGCATCAGGGTTTTGTTTTGGTCAGCTTACTGTCTCCCGTGGGGTTGTTTGAGGCTGGTATCTCTCTCCTGGAGAAGCTCAGCACTCCAGAGCCTGCAGGTTTCTGGGCACCTATAGATACAGATGGGTGACCCGCAGCACGTACCTCCAGCCTGGGAGAGCCAGGCGCAGGTCTCTGCCTCTCCTCCTAATGAAGCATCCTCAGCTATCCCGTCTTTGGGTGCCCAGTGGTGTGCAAGCTCTGGAGCTACCTCCCGCTGCCCACCCTGGTCGTTACTGCTGCTGCTGGGCTCCTGCACCACCAGATCCTCCCACATCCCAGCACCCTCTTGCCTGGCCTCTAGACTTCAGCTCACCAGCGGTACCAAGGCTTAGTGCAGAGTGGCAGGGCACGCGCCGTCCCACCGGGGGGCACGTGCCATCCCACTGGGGCTCACGCGCCGTCCCACCGGGGCGCTCTCCCCTCCGTGCGGGAGCTGGCGCCAGCCGGGCTGCTCCTCTCTGCGGCGGCAGGGATGCTGCGTGCGCCGGAGCACCATGGCTCACGTGCAGCTGGGGAACCAGTTAATTCTCTTACAGAAGTCGAGTTTCCTGTGAGCCATTTTGCCTCTGATACCGCGGGGCAGCTTCCCTCCCTGAGCAGCGCCTGCGCCAGTTCTCACGCGCCAGGGCTAACCTGGCCTGCTCCTCTTGGCCAAACCTCTCACAAGGAGTTCCAGTCCTTTTCACAAAGGATATTTTCAGCTGCTGCATAGCGAGGAAATGGCTTTGCTCCACCTGCTGCTGATTCCCTGGGGATTGCTAAATGGGCACCATCTGGGTGAGACCCTGAAAAGGGAGCCCTGGGGGGTTGTCCTTGCTCCTTTCCCACATCCCCTACTGCTGTTTGGCTCCATCCTGGTCACGGTGCAGCCCCCTGAGTGCTGCGATGCCGCAGCCGTGCCCATGCAGAGGGTGTGAAAGGGACCGTCTGCGCGTGACCGAAGCTTTAGGAGCTGACACGGGGCTCTGTTCCCCTCCGATACTGGGTGGGATGCCAGTACAAATCCACCTCTGCACAGCCCCCTGCCCCAGCCCCTTCTCCTCCCCAAGGCCGAGGGGGCTGCTTGGGTGGTTCTTGGCTGCCGTCAGCCCAGGGAATTCGTGCCTGGGTTTGTTAAAAGCACACAAAACCGGAGGCAGACACTAACAGCGCATGAAAACAAACGGCTCTTTTCCTGGCAAACATGAGCACACTTCCCTTCCCGCCGCCCTCTCCAGCCCGGCCTCCCAGCCAAGTAGACACTCCCTTCCTCCCCATCCATCAGCAACCACCCTCCACCTCCTTCTCCTCTTCCCCCCAGCTTTATCTCACATTTCTGGGAAGGATCTGATCCCGGGCATCCTGAGGATGCTCTCGGATGCTTCCCAGTGGCAGCAGGGCCACAGCTCAGGGAGGGAATCCTACAGCCAAGCCCCCCACGCGATGCCGGGGCGAGCCCCCCGTGTGCCTTCCTCCCAAGACCGGCTCCAGTGGCCCTCCATCTCCAGGCATCCCAGCCGATGGGTTAAATCCGTGTTTCTCTGCTTTCCTGGCAGGCTGGCCTGGATGGAGAAAACATCGGAAACTGCCCCTTCTGCCAGCGCCTTTTCATGGTCCTGTGGCTCAAAGGG